AAGTGGGTTACACGTCGGTTCACCTCCATTTCACCTGCACTCTTTCTGCACCCCAAACCTTCAAGTTCAATCAGCGCAGTCCTAGGTATGTGTGCCACATGTATACAGTTCACTGTCCGACAACACTGTCCGACAATCGTCGTCGGGCAAGCCTGCCAGCCGGCCTCAAGATCGGGCTCTTACCAACTGTTTGAACATCAAACAGTAATCTTCTAGTGTCTATGGCTGGGCACACACTCCCTCCCTTTATCCCCAGCAAGCTTGAAAGGCACTCTTCAATCACCACGGCGACAGAGTTGTTGGATTAAACTTCCATTTGATATGGGATCAAATATTTCTCCTTTTTCGGCACAATGAAGTGTTTGCAGATCAATTGACACATAGTTGAGAGGTCAATTCCCTTGATATAGGTTTGTTATGAATTATTGTAACTGTATATTTACGGAGGCTGATTTTTTTTCCCCTGCATATCACTGGTTTCTTCTTTGAACTATATCGCAGATAGAAAATATAGTTACTGGCAATGTTATTTGCCTTGTGAAATATTACAGTGTACCATTCTTTTTTTAATTAAGTCAAATACAATTCTTATATTGCAAATTTGATCAGAACTGCAATCCTTTGAAGATGATTAAATACCCAAACACATGTTTCTAATTCTTAAGTACTTATTTTAAGTGAATAGAACTTTTTGGCTTCTCCTTGTTATTTATCTTACCTCCTTTAATTTATATATTTTTTTCATTTGATATGAAAAAAGTTACATATTCAAGCATATAGTGAATTAAATAATTGGAAGTGGTCCAGGGATAACATACCATTAGTCCCATTGTAATCTTTTTAGACCGGATTATATTCTTATAAAGTAGAGTAATCTGTAGACTTGATGGTAATGGGATCGGCATGACTCTGTTTTCCATTCCTGTCTAGCTCACGAAGGCAACTATCCATACTTGGGTGACATTAAAGGTTTTAGTGGTTGCTAAGATGGTCCTAAACCTGTCAAGTATTTGCAAGATTGTATCAGGATGACTTCATCCCAATCTAATTACATGTACAAGACTAAAGACTTGACACTATTAGTCTAGATTTCTAGACTGCAAGACTACAGTCTAAATGTAAGTTTCTAACAGGATCGCTATAAGCCTAGGACCTTAAAGAAATCTCACTGGTTATGTAATGGTTATGTAATGTCATTGCCATGTTCACACGTCTCGATTCATGGTACATAAGGATATTGGACTTTTAAAATTGCTTAAGGATTGATTCTTTAAGGACTCTGGTTAGTCAAAGCACAGGAAACTTTTAAACAGTTGTTGCCAGACGATACATGTATGTCTTTGAACCCTGCCCATGTGTCAAGTTGAATGTACACTGTAGGTCTTTATGATTGAAGTTTGATGAAAAATGTAGGTGTTCCAAATTGACCTACATGTAGGAGACTGAAGAAGAAGTTGAATTTAAGATTAAGTTAGGTGGTATCTCTTTGGTTTAGGAAATCAATCATAGAGCTATTGTTTGCCGAGGGGGAGGGGGGCAGTTTGAGGGCTTGTCAGGTCCCGACTTACCAAGGAGACTGCAGAAGGAGACTGAAGAATGAGACTAGATGGATTGATATTGGAAACTGGGGCTCTTCTATTTGGGTGGATTCATGCTGGGCACAAGGTGAAGGTCACATGACTAATCCTGGCAAGGAGGCCCCTTAAATTTTCACCTTTTCCTACTTCCATCTCATGTTCTGTTTGGTCAGGAAGGTTCCTGGTTTGGTCACGATGATGTTTGGGGAATTGAGAATGATTTCTTTGTAAAATAACAAACTTCATGTCAGTATCTATGAATTAAACTTACCCTTGTCATTTTCGAGGGGGTGGGGTAGGGCTATTTCTGTATATTTTTAGGGTATTTCTTAGAAGACTAGGCTATTTTTCTTCTATTTTCTTATGGGAAGAAGTGGAAAATAGACTACCCCCCCCCCCCAAAAAAAAAAAAAAAAAAACCAACAACATATGTTTAGGCTAATGATTTGGAACAAAAGATACATTCAGTATTGAAATAAGTATACAAACGTAGCATCGTTGTCCATCTCTTCATCTCGTCTGCAACGGCCGAATCGGTACATCCACTCGAATCGCGAATAGTCTACCGCGCTGTATGTAAGTGGCCACAGTACTAACAATTTCTAACTAACCTCCTTTTTCCCAACCCTTAATGTCCCACTTATTTAGATTAACAAGTTAAGGCTTTTAAAGTGTATTTTAGCTTAAGGTGTATTTTGATATGAATGTATGTTGAAGAGAAGATCTCTGTCTTCTCTTCAACATACATTCATATCAAAATACACCTTAAGCTAAAATACACTTTAAAAGCCTTAACTTGTTAATCTAAATAAGTGGGACATTAAGGGTTGGGAAAAAGGAGGTTAGTTAGAAATTGTTAGTACTGTGGCCACTTACATACAGCGCGGTAGACTATTCGCGATTCGAGTGGATGTACCGATTCGGCCGTTGCAGACGAGATGAAGAGATGGACAACGATGCTACGGGTATGGGAACAGGAAAGATGACGACGTCGAAGACGGGAACGGAATCGGGAACACAGTTGCGGGATCAGGACGACAGGATCAAATTCAGGAACTCAGGATCAAAATCAGGAACACAGCATCAAATTGGCATAGGGTTAATGTTACCTATTTGCCGACGTATCTGCAATCAATGTTCCTCCTATCAATGTTCCTCCTTATGAATCAGTTCCTGACACTTTCAGATTAAGTTCCCTTGAAGTATGTTGTATAATTTAGTTGAATATTCCCGACTTGGTGATTGAAGTGACTTGGCTTTTCTTGAACGATTCTTGAACAACGCTGTACTTCGATAACTTTGTGAGTCCAGAACTTGTTGATTTTCCCACGCAGCAATTAGTTGTTAGTTCAGGGACAGCTTGAGGGAGATGGGAGGACAGGGGTACAGGTAGAGGAGACCAAGTCGGGGTGGAGCCAAGTGATCTAAACATTCATGTAAACTACTTTTATACCTCATTAAACATTCATACTCGACTTTTCCTCCGATCATCTTATTGGTCATTACTTTAAAAAGGGGGAAGGGGTCTAATCTAAAACTCTACTCTTATTGGTTCAAGGTCACCACTCATGGCCAAAGACACAGTCCTATGAGGTGTTCTTCAAAGAACATGTTTCAAAGAATAGTCACAAAGCATGAATGACCACAAAGAGCCCGTCTGATATCTAAATCCCCTTTCATAGAGCTTAATCTCTATTATTACAGATTTATCAATGGTATTAAAATCTAGTATTGTATTGAACAGGATGGATTAATACTGTGAATGGCAATAGGGTCATAAAGGCTATATCCCAGTGTGGGAACAGGATAGCTTCAATAGATAGCTTCAACTAGACATGCCAGCACATTTTATAAATACATCTATAACAAATTAAGACAAAGAAAGATACAGCAGAAAGAGACAAAGATAAAGATAGAGAGAGAGAGAGAGAGAGAGAAAGAGAGAGAGAGAGAATACAACAAGAAGAGAGAAGGACTATATACATGAGCAATATTCCACCATGTTACACCTTCCCCTCTGCCACCAGAATGGCGTCCGCGCCATTCCCAATAATAATTCTAAAATTATGCAATAGTAATTTTGAATTGATATTGAACACCAATAAAACAATAGCTGTACATAATATCACAAAGCTTTCATGACACCTTCTAAGACACCTTATTTTACTAGTGACCTTGCTTAAAATCTTGTTTATCAAATACAAAATATATACTTAGAATATAAGAAAGTATACACAGAAAACACACCAGTACAAATGATTACAATCCAAAATAATTTCTTCCACACTCCACATGTGTGAATTGGTTTGATATCTTCCACTCAGATTAATTATTACTTTAATTATTACTTCATCCTACTATAACAGCAATTTCAAATCAAACATGGTTTAAAATCAAAATGCAAAAATTCATTTAAGTTTCAATATAATAATTATTAGAAATCTGACTATCAACTTATGTGACTCCGGTATAACAAGTAACAAGTTAAAACAACCAAAACAAAACAAACGGAACTATATTTAAGTTCGCCTTAATATTAAATACAACATAAGCACACTAAAAGTACCATGAGATACAAATACGGTAAAATCATCATTTCTTCCAAACTACAATCAAATTTGAATAAAAAGTGGAATGTAAAATGGTGTTTGACATCAATCTCTCTTTTCCAGAACTGCCCTTATAATTTCACTGTACTAATCTATGGAATATTGAATCATATTCCTAATCTTCAAACTCAAATGTTAACAAACAAAATAAATTTGGCTAACTTTCAAAAGTAACCTATTCACTAAATTCATGTGAAACTAGGGTATCCTTTAGGCACCCTTCAATGATATCAATCATTTAATGTGCATTAATAAAACAAAATAAATAGTAATGTCCGCAGTATATTGGACATTATTTATGAAAGAAATGATCAACTGATAGATCAACCAACAAAATAATGACAAAGTCTAAAACTTTAAATCAAACCAATCTGGTTTTGTTGGCATAGTGAGACATGCTCCAGCCATGTTTAGACAATAAATCAACAAAGTAGAGTGTCTATATTAATACAATATAGAGCTAAATATCATGTTATTCAGAGGAATAGCAATTTATAAATAAAAAACTTCATTCTCCCAAGTTTTTGTCATTAACAATATCATAACAAGTCCTATCTCCCATTAATGAATTCAGGTTGTATCCTATATGTAGACACAATTTCTGATCCAAAAAAGAAGGCTAACTGTTCTCTTACTATGGGAAAAGATGACATTATCGGAATCATCGATATCAACATCACGCTCACAACAATCTCAACTGGTGAAAACAAAACAAACACAAACTTCAAAAGCAGCATCATCAGCAGTCCATACAACATCATACAATTGTATTTATTCCCAACAATTGGTTGGACAATTTGACTTTGATAATACGTTAACCGATCAGGTTTACGAGAACATCTTTTTGACTGTCTCGGTGGACAGTCCTCCTCTTCAATAGAGGCGGTCTCTTGCTCGTCACCTGAAGGGACAGGAGAGGGGTCAACTTCTACAGGGGCATTATTTCTTACATTATCCTCAGTCGCAATATCATCTGTATTTACAGAAGTAACCGAACCATCATCTCTAATTTCAGAACCTGTGCAATCTGGAATCGACTGGCCTAATTGAAATTCAAAATCAGCACTATTTTCCAGTACACTTGTCTCCATTGGAACATTCCAAGCTGTGACACTTTCATCTCTCTCATTTACGTCGTTATGCTGTGTTTGGTCACCATTTGAAGATTTAGTTACCTCATTCTTAGATACATTTGCACGTCTAGGCTGTGGAATTGTCTTCGGGAGAAAGTTACAAGGTAGAAGCAAATTGCGATGTAAGACACGGGTCTTAGTCCTAGAGCCTTCAGATCGAACCTTGAACACAGGTATATCTACATTGGGTTGCTCTACAACAATATGAGGATCCTTGCCCCATATATCACCTAACTTGTTCTTTCCCTTCACACCCTTGATCTTAACTAAGACTCTGTCTCCTACTTGAATTTTGTTCTCTTTCAACTTCTGGTCATACCTTCCTTTGTTTTTAGCTCCTACTTGGCCATTTCTCTCAGACGTGATCTTGTAAGCATAGTCTAGTCTATCTCGAAGTCTCGTTACATACTCAGGGGCACTTGAATTGTCATTATCATCCCTAGCATCTAGTCCTAAATACATATCTATGGGTAGGCGGGGGTGTCTGCCATACATGAGGTAGAAGGGTGAGAAGCCGGTTACACTATGTTTTGTACAATTGTATGCATGGACTAATGGAGCTACATAAGACTTCCAGTCGGATTTCTTGTCCTCCGTCAGAGTGCCTAGCATACTAAGTAGGGTGCGATTCATCCTCTCACAACTGCCATTACCTTGTGGATGGTAAGGAGTGGTCCTAGATTTATGAATTCCTACTAATTTACAAAGTTGTGCGATTACATTGGACTCAAAGTTTCGGCCCTGATCTGAATGTAACCGTTCTGGGAAACCATAATGTACAAGGAAATGATCAAATAAGGCCTTAGCAGTAGTGTTCGCAGTTTGGTTCTTTGTTGGAATGGCTGTTGAATATCTTGTGAAATGATCGGTGATCACTAAGATATTACCATATCCTCCTTTCGACTCTTCAAGGGATAAGAAGTCCATGCAAACAAGCTCAAGGGGCCTACTTGTCTTAATGTTGACCAATGGTGCTGTGTTAGTAGAATTCCGTACTCCTTTCCTCCTAACACAACGGCCACAGGTGCTAACATAATGTTGGACGTCCCTTCCAAGATGGGGCCAGTAGAATCTGTCCCGGACAAGTTCGGTTGTCCTCTCGACACCCAAATGCCCTATCTCGTCGTGCAAAGATTGCAAAACTAATGCACAATATTTCCTAGGCAGTACGAGTTGTAAGAATTCCTTACCTTCGACTATTCTCCTACGATAGAGTACCCCATTCTTTAGCACTAACTTATCCCATTCTCTAAGCACGATTTGAACATCCTTACTTTCTTCTCTTCTTCGATTAATCAATGGACAGACATCTTGTTTGACATAATCTATCACCCTACTGATAACTGGATCCATACCTTGTTCCTTAGTCCAATCTGGCGGTCCACTAGTAAATAGATTATCAGATGCCCTATCTTCCAGTCCTACATCACCAACTACAGTTACAGAATGCTGCCCTACATTTTCTACAAAGGGACTGTTTTCTACATCTACATTAAGGGCATAGTCTACTACTGCCTCAAAGGTTTCTTTAGAGCATGTAGTGTCAGGAGGGGTATCTGAAGGGGGCACATTAGAGGGGCGTCTAGAGAGAGCATCAGCATCAATATTCATCTTGCCTGATCTGTATGTGAGGGTAAGGTCATAATTGGCCAGGGCTGCTAACCACCTATGCCCTGTGGCATCTAGTTTAGCTGTTGTGAGAACATAAGTCAGCGGGTTATTGTCAGTTCGAACATGAGTCTTGTTACCATACAGAAAATCATGGAACTTTTCAGTCACAGCCCATTTTAATGCAAGGAATTCTAACTTGTGGGCAGTACAATTTCTCTCACTCTTGTTCAATGTACGACTCGCATACGCAATCACTCTCTCCCTACCTTCTTCATCCAACTGGTACAGTGCCGCTCCCAATCCAGTGGTGCTAGCATCTGTATGTAATAGGAAAGGCTTGGAGAAATCCACGTACTGAAGGACAGGGGCACTGATCAATTTATTCTTTACTTCTAAGAATGCTTCATCATGTCTTCTAGTCCAAATCCAGGGAGGGGAATGAGACGGGGACCTATTTACTTTACCTTTACGTTTCTTAGGGTCATCTAGGAGATCGAGCATAGGGCTCATTATTTTAGATAGATTGGGGATGAATTTCCTATAGTAACTGGCTAGGCCAAGGAAAGATCGAAGTTCTTTAACGTTCTTAGGGGTGGGCCAACTTCTAACTGATTCAGTCTTGTCGGGGTCAGTACCTATGCCCTCTGATGTGAGGATGTGCCCAAGGTACTTCACTCTGGTCTGTAGGAGCTTGCATTTTGAGGCCTTCAACTTGAACCCATGGTCAGATAGACGTTGGATTACAGCTTCTAGCCTCACAACATGCTCTTCCATCGTCTTGCTGTAGATGATAATATCATCTAAGTAGACGACGCACACAGTGTGATTGAGTTCGCCAAGACATTTCTCCATCGCGCGCTGGAAAGTACTAGGCGCGTTACAGAGACCAAATGGCATACGATTGCACTCCCACAATCCAAGAGGAGGGGGGAGCACAAAAGCAGTCTTTTGTTTGTCACGTTCGTCTATTTCTAGTTGCCAGTAACCTGACTTGAGATCAAGAGAACTGAACCACCTAGCACCCTGCATCATCTGTAGAGTTTCATCAATTCTAGGCAAAGCATAAGAATCCCTTACTGTACGTTGATTAAGTTTACGAAAGTCAATACAGAACCTTAAAGATCCATCCTTCTTCCTAACCAACACTACAGGACTGGCATACGGTGAAAATGACTCCCTAATCACACCAGCCTCATGCATTGAACGTACATGCTCACGCACCTCTGCATACATGGCTGGGGGTATACGACGATATCTCTCTCGGAATGGCTGTTGATCTGTTAGGGGAATGTTATGTGTAACTATATTACTATGTCCCAAGTCAGTATCAGACTGGCTAAAGGCACGTGGATAGTTTCTAAGGATATTCCTCACCTTATCTACATCTTCACTTGAAGCAGGAGACTCTGAGAAATCTAACCCTTCTATACTCAATCCACCCGTCCTATTAGCATCACATGTGTCTACATGCTGCTGACTAGTCTGAATTGGACCTTCAACATTACACAAGAATACTTCACCCACAACATCATTACTGTATAACCATAAAGGCTTATCAGTTTGGTTCCGTACTAGAACTGGCACTTTACAAGATTTCTGCCGTTCTGCATCTATTGTGACAGTATTGCTGTCAATAACTAAGCCAGCTGGTAATCTATTGTATCTACGAGGCTCTAACATCACATCATAAGGTCTACCTGAAACGGGGAGTGGGACCTTACCTTCTATTACCATTGCATGGTTAGCGGGGATCCTAACAGCTTTCTTTGAAGCATTCTTCACTACACCTATCCTACCATCTGATTTAGACTGCACTTGCCTCTGCATACAAACATACACTGATCGCCATGTTGGATGCACACTATTACTATGAACAAAGTCAGGCCCATATTGGGTCTTACCTCTATCAATACATGTATCTATAATGTTAGTCCCTACACATAAGGGTACCCTCTTATTATAAGAAGTATCTGGAACCACTAACACAGGGACATCTATTTCAGACGAAGAGGGGAGAGAGCCAGGAAAAAGGATAGAAAGCTCTACATAACCTAGATAGGTGACAGGTAAACCATTAGCTCCTTCAACCTTAAGCAAGTCATCAATGCTATGAAGAGAACTTTTGGGAAGATGAAAGTTGTAGAAAGAGTGAGAAATAGTAGTGATCTGGGACCCAGAATCTAGAAGACATTTGCTTTGTTGACCATTTATAATGGCCACCGCTTCCGTTGCCTTGCCAACCATTCTATCTAAGAGTGGTCTTGATAGGGGACTTCTCGATTTAGCCCTTTGACTATTTGAAGATAGACCTACTGCCCGTCCCTTGGCAGAGGTCTGCCTTCGTTTAAAGGTACCTGCATATGTTGGGGAGGAGCAAAAGACTGATGAGGATGCTGTGAAAAGTGAGAAGGAGGAGAAGGATAGTGATGAGAAGGAAAGTGAGGAGGAGGAGAGCATTCTCGAGCTAAGTGCCCTGGTTGACCACATTTGTAGCATGGTCCCCTTGGACCACGAGAACGAACAGGTCTGTTAGGGTTCTCCCTACTAGCATAACTACTGCTATTACTACTAGCAATTTCCATCGCTTTTAGTTTTTCTTTTATCTCTCTAAGCTCCTTTGCTAGTTCGGATCTATTACTATCGGGATTAGTAACTGTGCTCGCATGGGCACCTATTCTATTTTGACGGGAACGGAGAGGGGAGGCATGAAACTTCTCAAAGTCTTCATGTTCCTGTTCAGCCTGCCTAGCTACCCTGATTAATTCATCAAATGACCTGACTAGGTCATATTTGTGCCGTATGGCTTGTTTTAACACTTCATTGGACATCCCCTTCCAAAAGACAACTCTAAGGGTCTCATCTTTGGCCATGGGAGAGATTCCCTTCCGAAGTTCAACTTTATCTATGGCAAGTTGGAGTCTAGCGCTATAAGCAGTGACCGACTCCTCCGTTCCTTGTCTACTGGAATATAACTGCTGGAGTAGTACCGCACCAGACTCTACCGTGCCATAAAATCCGTCAATCTTCTCTACGATCTCTTCCACACTGGAGTCGATATTCATGTTCATGACTATCTGTCCAGCCTCCCCTCTGAGAGAACGCCTAACTAACCTAGCTAAGGCCTGGTGACTGCAGCTTTCATCTGTTTGGAGGCATTTGATTTCGTGCCTCCAAACTTCGAAAGGTACCTCACCACCCTTGGGTTTCGGATCCCCAGAAAATATAGAGAGTTTAAACGGATTCTGTATAACAGTTTGGGACCTAACTACAGCGGGAGTAACATCAATAGATTCCATTTTTAGTTTGAGAACGAGATTGGATGTGGGTATTTCTAATACCTCAACTACATTGTCATCCAATGTTTGTTTATTTAGTTCCGTTATTGCACGTAAAGCAAGGGTACTACTAGCGAAAGCACAATGAGCATTACCGGTGCTTTCGCCGGTTAAAGAATCTTTGCCAAAGTTTAAGTGGGACACTTCCCCAATCTTCTCTAAAAATTCTCTGAGACTGCCCTCAGTAGTTGAAGGACTCAATCCCTTCACCAGAACAACACAATCTCCCTTAACAGAAGCCATTGTTTAAAGAAGTAAGGAGAAGAAAAAAAAGTATGAAAGAAAAATAAAGAAGTAGAAGAGGAATAGATCTTAGGAAAAACAACTATAGTATAAGATTATTAAAGCTACAGCAGAAAAAACAGTCTAGTCCCTATCTGCGATATTGACTACGGTATATGTAAACAAACAAAAATGATTTAACAAAATCGTATAAACAAACGCAAAGCGGAAAATATAAAACTTTGCCAATCACTAGCGAGCATACACTTCAGCAACACATACACTCACGTCCAGTCACCCAAAATATTCAACCATTCGTCAGATAATATGATGATATCAGATGATCAGAATGTAATTTCTTCCCATATAAATAGAAAACAAAGTTAGCATCTAATGAGAAAATGATTTGCAATATATCATAATGGGATAAGAACCAAATGATATATAATTAATTTCCGAACCAATTAACTATTCCTCTGCACACATGAAATATAATAACACAAATCAAATAATATAAAATATTATCAACAAATAGGAAACAAGGTCACTATTAAGGAATGTACGTAATAGATAAATTCATGCCCAAGCGCTGAACTTGACCAGGAAAATCATACCAGTCTTTCTGGAAACATGCAATTATTAATATATTTTTTTTAAAGTTTCTTATTAATTTGGAGAGCTTTTAAATCGTGCTGATAACGCGAAAATAAGGTTGTGGGTTCCGTCTAACCGCCCACACCACGCCGTCTTCTATTATAATGAAATAGTAGAATCGAGCTCCGAGTGAAATCAGGTTTTTGTATTGGTCCGCTAGCTATGACTTTCACTCGGGGGAGGGGTTAGTTCAAATAAACCACCGATTAAAATAAAGACAAAGAATAAGAGCGCTGGGACACGATATAGTATTTAAGGTGTCATATATGTTTATTTACCAATCACTGACCTGTATCAACTACTCTTCTAACAGTATTTATCATCAAACAATGTCATGAAAATAGTATCAATAATCCAGAAGATCTCTGTCTTCTCTTCAACATACATTCATATCAAAATACACCTAAAGCTAAAATACACTTTAAAAGCCTTAACTTGTTAATCTAAATAAATGGGACATTAAGGGTTGGGAAGAAGGAGGTTAGTTAGAAATTGTTAGTACTGTGGCCACTTACATACAGCGCGGTAGACTATTCGCGATTCGAGTGGATGTACCGATTCGGCCGTTGCAGACGAGATGAAGAGATGGACAACGATGCTACGGGTATGGGAACAGGAAAGATGACGACGTCGAAGACGGGAACGGAATCGGGAACACAGTTGCGGGATCAGGACGACAGGATCAAATTCAGGAACTCAGGATCAAAATCAGGAACACAGCATCAAATTGGCATAGGGTTAATGTTACCTATTTGCCGACGTATCTGCAATCAATGTTCCTCCTATCAATGTTCCTCCTTATGAATCAGTTCCTGACACTTTCAGATTAAGTTCCCTTGAAGTATGTTGTATAATTTAGTTGAATATTCCCGACTTGGTGATTGAAGTGACTTGGCTTTTCTTGAACGATTCTGGAACAACGCTGTACTTCGATAACTTTGTGAGTCCAGAACTTGTTGATTTTCACATGCAGCAATTAGTTGTTAGTTCAGGGACAGCTTGAGGGAGATGGGAGGACAGGGGTACAGGTAGAGGAGACCAAGTCGGGGTGGAGCCAAGTGATCTAAACATTCATGTAAACTACTTTTATACCTCATTAAACATTCATACTCGACTTTTCCTCCGATCATCTTATTGGTCATTACTTTAAAAAGGGGGAAGGGGTCTAATCTAAAACTCTACTCTTATTGGTTCAAGGTCACCACTCATGGCCAAAGACACAGTCCTATGAGGTGTTCTTCAAAGAACATGTTTCAAAGAATAGTCACAAAGCATGAATGACCACAAAGAGCCCGTCTGATATCTAAATCCCCTTTCATAGAGCTTAATCTCTATTATTACAGATTTATCAATGGTATTAAAATCTAGTATTGTATTGAACAGGATGGATTAATACTGTGAATGGCAATAGGGTCATAAAGGCTATATCCCAGTGTGGGAACAGGATAGCTTCAATAGATAGCTTCAACTAGACATGCCAGCACATTTTATAAATACATCTATAACAAATTAAGACAAAGAAAGATACAGCAGAAAGAGACAAAGATAAAGATAGAGAGAGAGAGAGAGAGAGAGAAAGAGAGAGAGAGAGAATACAACAAGAAGAGAGAAGGACTATATACATGAGCAATATTCCACCATTTTACACAAATAAAAATAAAAACATATTTTCAGGGTTGTTTTTTATATTTTACCTTTTATATTTAGTCATATTTACTATCATAAAAAATGAGAAAGATGAATTTGGATCTGGAGAGAAATGGTATTTGTTTGCGATCTTGACAGAGAGTGCTTTGACTCTACGACCTCCTGGGTGTTCCTGCAGTTGATAACATAAATCAGAATATCCTGCTGATAACCTCTCCTCGGACCATGAATTGTATCAACAAATTTAGGGGAAAGTTTACATTAAAGTCACTTTGATGAAAATGTTTTTCCAAAAGACGTGATAAAGGAAAGGTTGGAACTTTCCTGATTTGTACTGCAACACGGACCCTTCCTCAAAAATATAGTCGTGCATTAGGCCTATTCTAAAGGATACTACCCGGTACGAAAGTCTGTTTTCTTGCAAACCAGAAGTGTTGACTAGTAGAAACTACCAACAAGACTAACAATAACAGCCCACAAAACCTAAAAATAATTATCCGGTGGTTCTTCTGAAAAGTTACCTGAAAGTTATTGATTGTCAACAGGACCAACAAGTAAGTCGATCTTGCTGGATTCCAGAGGGTTCCCAAGACAGACAATATTTGGGATAATGGGCTTTCAATCTGCCATGATGCACCACTTCTTGGCATGCTAGTTCCCCCCTTGTTTAAATGAATTTTCCTCTTTAATTAGGAGTGAAAAGTAATTCATAAGGTGGACAAATTATTTACTTGCCTAAATTGCAAATACAAAGACAAGTGCCTCATTCAGATTCTAGGAACAAACAAAAAAAGTTTGATATTGCCTCAATGGTTCTTTTGGCATTTCAACAGTTGACGAGGGCTAAGGCCTGCTAGTGTTGGGGTTTGCAAACTTTTTTGTTCTTTTCCGTTTTCCAGAAGTTTACTGGTTTGTTTGATTTTGGCATTGGTATTTTATTGAGAGATTAGATGGGTGGGACTCCTGGTGGGTGTAACCAAAGAGATACCAGCGTAATAACTCCTTGGTGTAACGCTGGTGGGTGTAAAGTTAGGTCTGAAAATGAAAGGAAGGATTAAAGAGAATTATCCACCAGAAGAAGCATGTTTGCTATTAAATAGGACCCCTTTCTCCTCCCCCCCCCCCCCATCTGATTTCACTTAGAGTGTTGTACGTTAGGTAGTCGGCAATGCTTGGTTTAAGAAAAACAAATGTAAATTTATTCGCTGCATCTAATGATGATAAAAGAAGCCCTAAACTACTGTAAGTTTGCTCTACCACAAAGACATACATGTATCCCACTACCATATATACAGTATTGAAGTGGACTGTTATCTTGAATAGTTTTATGAGGAAACGTCTTCTCTCTCTCCCTCCCTTTTCCCTCTTTCAATGTCACATTTATATTTTGAAAGAAGTTTGGTTTTTTAAACTGTAACACGCACATGAGTCTCCTATTTCTTATCAATCTATACTGTACCATAAGGAAGCAAGATTAGATTTCTGTTTTGGTGCCATACATGAAAGATAGCCTTATACTGATACCCTCTTTGCTTGTAATTGAAGAAGAAGCTACTGGTAGTTTGGACCTATCATATTGCGACATCTCTCTCAAATCCTGTGGTAAATTAGATTTGCTCCTGGGAACAAAACAATGACCAGCATTTTGACAGCGATTTTACAATCAAGGTGTAATATCTTTTTACTGATATTGTTAAGATGCATATTTTTAGCATAGTTGAAAAAGAATTTGCTTTATGATCTTGACCACCAGAAATGGTTAACATGATGAAGACAAGATGTCTTTATCAATAGACCAGTTTACCAAAATATTCAAATTTTATGTTACAACAAATTTTCTTGAGAACATGAACACCTGCTGAAGGTTTGCCCGACATAACAACAGCAAATATAGTATGCAAACTGGGTTTCAAGTATTGTACATGTAGTTCATTCATTAATAACAGGTTAATGGAAAGCCTTGTCACCATGCAGGTCCCTGGAGAGAGACATCCATACATACATTTGAAAATGTTAGTAAACTGGTATATTATTCACATGCCTACTCTCTCAAAAAAAATTGAGTGATCACGGACGTCACTCCTCTGGAGAGTGAAAATGTAGTGAAAATAGAGTGAACATTCACTCTTTTCTTCTTAGAGAGCACTCTAAAATCAATCGATTTTCACTCCTAAACAAGTGATCACGGACGTCACTCCCAAGAA